AGAATGTTATACTTTTCTCCAGAAAGTTCTAGGAATCCTGTATTTTTTGTTGCTCTCTCTTCAGTGGTATCCTTTTTCAGTGTGCTATTGACCTAGAGATATGCAATTACTTTTGTATATTGATTTTGCACCTAGCAACCCTGTTAAATAATTGAGGCTCACTTGAAAAATGAGAGTTTTATTTCTTCTGCTCTAATCCTTGTACTTCTTTTTATTGTCTTCCATGTGAGCCAAAACTTTCAGTACAATGTTAAATAAAAGTAGCAACGGTAAGCATCCTTGTCTTCTTCCTGACTTTACAGGGAACGTTTTTAACATCACTAGGTGTGATGATTGACGTAGGTTTTTGATAAATAACTTTTCCCAGGTTAACAAAGTTCCCGTCTATTCCTGATTTGCTGGTAATTTTTTGAAAGTTTATTTTTATTAAAAAATATTTTGGGGGGTAATCAGGTTTATTTATTTATTTATTTTAACAGAGGTACTGAGGATTGAACCCAGAACCTTGTGCATGACAGGCGTACACTCACTCTACCACTGTAAGTATTTTTTTAAAATCATGAATGGATGTTGAAATCCACCAAATTCTTTTCCTGTGACTGTTCAGATTTTCCCTTTTTAATCTGTGAGTGATATTCATTTGTACTAATAATTTTTTCTGTTAACCCAAACAGCATTCATGGGATACATGGAGCTTGAGGGAGTCAATTTACCCATACTTTTTTAAAGACTTCTGCATACCTATTCATAAATAAGACTGACTTTAATTTCCCTTTCTTATACTGTTCTTGTGTCTGCTTTTGGCATGAAGGTTATACTAGCCTCATAAGATGAGTTAGGAAGTGTTCTCTTTTTCTATTTTCTGAAGGAGTTTGCAAAATATTAGGACCGTTTCATGAATGATTGACAGGATTTGTAAATAAAACTGTCTGGACCTTGTGGAAATATTTCTGCAACTGTTATAAAGCTATTCAGGTTTTCTATTTCTTTTTTAATCAGCTCTGGTACATCACAGTATTCTAGAAATTTGTCCATTTAGTTTAGCTTTAAAAATTTATTGGCATAAAATTGATTATAATAGTCCCTTATTAGCTTTTTAATCTCTGCTGTAGCTGCAAAGTTACCCCATTTTCATTCCTAACCTTTCTTTCCTTGATTTAGGAAGGTGGTTTGTCTAGTGTAGCAGTTGTTTCAAAGAAGCAACTTTTGGGCTGTTTCTATCCTGGGTCTTTCTTTTCTTTTTCATTCATTTTAGTTTATATATTACTATTCACTGTCTTTTAAATTTCCTTCTTCCTCTTTTCTTTAAGCTAAATTGTCATACTTTTATAACTTTTTAAGCTGGATGCTGAGCTCATGGATTTTTAGCCTTTTATTTCCCCTCTAATATAAGCAACTAAGTTATTTCTTAAGAGGATTTCCCTCCCTGAGGACACGGGGTTAAGTATCCAGCTCTCCTACAGCCAAGAGGAGTAGGGCCCAAGCCAACTCCTTCTCCCTTCAACCTCCATATGAGGACCCCTCAGGGAGAGAAGCAAGGGGAGGGGGGAGACAATTTACTATTTACAATTACTGGAGAATGTAAGTGTCACTTCACTGAAGGGCTTGTCTGAATTACTGGACTGAAATAAGTCTTAAATTGGATTGGATACCCCCCCCCCCACGAAATCAGCTGGATGGGTTACAAAGCACAAATTGAAGTGGAGCAATAATAAATCCCACTTCAGTGTAAGTTAAACTTGATGACTTTGCTATAATAATTATGAATAATCATCATGATTGTATTATCCCAAACCTTTCAATCAAGGACAACAAATCGTTATTTACTAGTTTCTTCTAATGGCATTTCCTGAGCAAACCCTCTGGGGTCCCTTTCACCTTATGATCAGCAAAGATCCTGGAGAAAGGACAGAGGCAGAGTGCTTTACAAACTGACCCGGGAGGAACCTTGCTATTCCATCATTTATCAATAACCCAAACTAGTGAGACCCCAGACACTTCTCGTTTCTCAGTTGCTGCGTCGGGTGTCAGGAACACAGTGGCCGACAGGACGACGTGCAGCGGCTGCTTCCATTCACTGCACAGACGCAAGGGGACCAGGACCAAGGGACAGGTGGCTCTCGGACACGATGACTAATGCATCACTAGCAGTGGTGCAGCCGGAGCACGCAGTAGGGGGACCTGGCCTCTCCTTTGGCGCTCAGGGCAGACTTTCCTTGAGGAAGCGGCACCCACGCCGAGTGAGCCAGGTAAAGCGGAAGGAGACAGGAGCGTTTCAAAAGCAGGTCAGTCCTGCAAAGGTTTGGAGGCGGGTGAGGATGCCCAGGGCACAGGGGCCTGGCAGAGAATCAGGATGGCCGCGGACCCAGGGGTAGGAGGTAAGTGGAGAGCAGACTCTAGAAAGGTAAGCACTTACCGAATCATGCAAGTCCCATGAACCATGGGAAGGAGGGTGTCTGGATTTACATTCAGAACTCCAAGACAGCACTCGAGGGCATGAGCGTGGTACCCTGGCCAGCTAGCGTTTCCCGTGACGTTACGACACACAAGTTAAGTGTTCTTGCAGAAACTCTAAAGCCCTCTGTGAATTTCTTGCTCTCAGAAAACTTTATTTTGCTTTGTTTCGTGTTTTTTCTTTGGGGGATCTCAAGTAAGGAAGAAATCTATACAAATTCTGAGCACAGATCCTGTTTTCACTAACGGACATTTTTCCAGGGGGAATGCAAGCACATTGGGATGAACTCAAAGAATGTAGCTGATAAATAAAACTGCAGTAGCAGACATTGATAAAAGAGAACAAGCCTCTGGTTACTAAAGAAGGTGGCTTTTTAGAAAAACAATGGGTCCCGCCCCACCTAAGCACCAGGACACGCTGCCTTCCGGGCAGTGCCTGCCCGCGGGGTCCCCACGGGCAGTCACCCTCTGCTGTGCAAGCTTCTTCAGAAACAAGCAGGCTTTAGCTCTCTCTACTCAGCTTATTAGAAATTAGCACACATTATTTAATACAAATATAGCAATTAGCAGAGGCTTGGTAGATATTAATGGTGCCAGAAAAATATTTACTTTCCAAATTGCCTTAAAAAAAGCAGGCAAATAGGAAGCCTAGATGTCTCACAGGCATTTTAAATTTAATAGAGCCAGACTGAAACCCATCACCCCATCCAGAATGTGGGATAATCTATACAACTGGCTTAGACTCTTTTTAAGAAAAATCGATAACAATATAAAGGGGAGGGGGTGAAAAGAGTGCCTATATTAAAAGAGAAATACATATATATTTATATATATGTATGTCCCCCAAATGTATTATAAAAGATATTTTGGGGGTAAGGAAGGAAATGGGATTTTGGATGGAATCTCAGATAGCAGGAAATTCATGTTATTTTGCCAAGCATGATACTCAGGATTATGGTGGAAATGTCCCTAATTTAGGAGATGCGCACGTGCTGAGGGTTCAGAGCCCGCTCTCTGCAGCTTCCTTTCAAATGTTGAGCACTGACAGGGGTGAGGGGAGGGGAGCAAAAGTGGCACAGTGTTAACAGGCAATGAGTCTGGGTGAAGGGCGTTCAGCTGTCCATTACACCACTCTTTCCACTTGTAGGTAGATTGGAAGTTTTTCAGAAAGAAAGAAAAGCAAGCAAACAACAGAAAAGGGACCCTGAGCTATTTCAGCCAGAGAAATACTGAGCCAACGGGTCTCACAGAAGCAGGTGGAGGAAGAGATCAGATTACACGTGGGTAGTGTACGGTACCGGCTTCACTCAGAAAACGAAGGTCTGGAGATACAATACTGAGGAAGGGCGATTCAAGTCCTTCCAAGACCTGGGGTCCTGATGTCCCTCTGTGCCTTTCGGAGCCAAGCACAGGGGGCTTCCTGCGGCAGGAAATTATAAATAGAGAAAAGCCCTGCCTGTGCAGTGCTGAAATCTGCAGGGATCACCAGCGGTCACTGCGCCTGTGGCTGCCACGCAGGTCCCGCCGTCCTGGAATCTTCTCTCTGGCCTCTTCTGCTGTCTTCCTCACTAACCTCCCTGGCTCCCTCACCCTCTGCTGTCACCTGCAGCTCTGATCTCTTGCTCTGAGCTCTGGGCCCAGGATTCCAGCCCCATCTGCCTGCTGCCTCACTTCCCCAAGTCCTGCTCCCTTCCTGGTTATCTGTGAGTTGTGAAGTTGTGAGAACACAAAATTCCTAAGATCCCACCCATGTGGGTTCTTGAGAGGACTTGAAAAAAGTCCAGCCCCCTCTCTTCGCTATAATTACCGCTTCCATCATTCCAGGGGGAGAAGCTAAGAATGAATGATTCCACAACAATAACAGAATTTCTGGTTTTCTAAAATTCACCAAGTCTCTACACAAAGGGCTGAGAAGGAGCTGGAATGTTCCCCACCTCGACTGCCCGTCCTCTCTGTGGATTAACTGCCGCCAGGGCACACGCGTCTCAGATGAATGGCCCTGCCATCTTGCCTGCAGGAGGACCCATTAGAAAACGCTTCCTTAGACAGAGCCCAAACTACTCCTCGTGGCTTCTGCCTGTGAAACTGGCCAGTGAAATTCCTCTCCTGGCCTGGCCCCTGAGTAGTGCATGAAAGGACCAGACTGCCCTACTCCATCCTTTCTGCGTGGGAGGCCTCGTGGTGGCAGCCCCAGACCAGCTCAGGGATCTGGTGAGCCTGGGGAGGTCCACGGACTCCTGGAGGCTGTGGTCTGAACAAGCTCAATCCACCGTGGCAAGTGCGACCTGCTGGCCACCTCCCCCCGATTCCTCTGCACCTTCTGACATCCTGAAGATGGCCTCCCCTCCCACGCCAGCTTTAATTGAGGACTCGGTGGAAACATCCCTTTGAGAAACACATCATCTGCATGACGCTGGGTCGGTGCAGTGGGGGAGGCTTGTCTGGGTAAGCACCCTCGGTCAGTGGCATTTACTTAATGAGACTACGAAGAAAGCCTGATGAACTAGGAAGGCGGCTGCGGATATGAAATAAATATGAACGCTTACCTCCCCTTGGAAACTCTTCAGCAGTGGCGCTACCTGCTTGCGCAAATCCTGGGGTGAGAAGGTGGGTCCGGAAACAGCCATGGGAGAAGAAAAGAGAAGGAAAACATTCGTTAAGGTCTCCTAAGTACAGTTTCCAATTCAGCGATGGTTGTTATTACATAAAGCAACCCCGGAGCCTCCCCTGCCCCCTCCCTCCCTCCCACGGGGAGAATGCCGGCGGGTGCCCCAGCGTTTACACGGCCTTACTTCAGAATTACCCCTTGTCTTTATTTCGACTGAGTCCTGTTTGTACACCCCTCATTTTCAACGTGCTATGGACTAAAGTTTCTGCTGGTGCCGGTCTAAGAGAATTAGGTGTAAACTAGGGTATTATAATGGAGGTTTGACTTCTTTGTATCTGAAACAGACCTGGGTCACTATCCCGCACGTCACCCGTTACTTCTGAGCGCTGTGGATGGGAAATGGGACAGATGTGAAGTGGGAAGCCATGTCTGGTACAGTCCCTGGAAATTTTATCCTAAGCCACCGGTACCCATTTCACAACATAAGGACATTTTATTTTATTCAAAATGAAGTAACCGACTAAGGCACAACATAGTGATTACAGTCAATAATACTGTATTATAAACTTCAAAGTTACCAAGAGACTAGATCTCAGTGTGAAAAAATGCTAACGATGTGCCATGACAAAGGTGTTAGCTGAACTACAGGAATCGCACTGCAGCGTGTGAATGGATCCAACCAACACGCTGCACACCTCACACTTACACAACCTTTTTGTGAATTATATCGCAATTTTTAAAAAATAGAAAAAATGAAGTAATTGAGAAAGTGCTGCAAATACTTTGAAAGAACTTGAATAAGGCAACTTTTCTTCTACGGAGAGCCGGGGCACAGAAGGTGGTTACTGGGCATGATTTATGTGCCAGATCGGGTTCAGTAAGTCTGGACAAAGGCCCACGCATCTACCTTTTTCTAAGCCCCAAGGCTGATGCAGACGCCCAAGTGAAGCTGACTAGCATTAGTAAAGTTGGACCAATCAACCATCACATGGGCAGAGAGTAAAGTATCATTTCAGAAAAAGGCCTGTGCTGGGAGAACGTGAGAGGGAGGATGAATTCAGATGAAGAGCAGTGCCGCAGAGAACGCAGCATCTGAGCAGGGAGACAGGCGTGATTTTTGTGGGGGACGAGGACAGCCAAGGGGGACGAGCCCAGCCTCTCCCCCCGGAACTCTGTGGCTCTTTAAGCAGCCCCGGCCCTGGGCCTGCTCAGTCCCCGAGGGGAGCTGCGTATACACACGGGCTTGCTTGGCGTCTAATCTTTTGGTAACTACCTGACTGACAGCATTTGGGGTTCCTTTAGCCAAGCATCCAAATCAAGGGGGCACCCTTTCCACACTTGGAAGCCAGCTTGTGACCACAGCAGTCCGGCTGCAGGGTTAGGGAGAACGACAGCCCCAGGTGTCCTGTGCCCACCGGTCTCCAATGTTTCCTCTGGTCCTGGGCCCGTAATCTTTTTGGGTTATGAAAACTTTCCAAGAATCTGAGGAAAGCTACTGACCCTCTCCTGAGGGAGGAAACTGCAAACTATTTCACTGAGGGCTTCCTAAGCACCCCCTACAGACCCCAGGGGAGGACCCCTTGTTCTAGCCCAGGTGGCCCAATGCAGTGGCCACCAGCCATTTATATTCAGATGTAACTGAATTAAATTAAAAATTCAGTTCCTCAGTTGCAGGAGCCACATTTCAAGTCCTCAGTAGCCACATGAGGCTGGCAGCCACCGCACCAGACACTGAAGATACGGAACATCTCCATCACTGCAGGGTGACCTCGTCAGACAGGGCTGTACCATAAGCGCTTTGCCAAACATAACTAACCCACATTACTTTGTACTGTAACCTTGTGAAAGTATTTGCTCAAGAGGTATTGTAATTTCCCTTTTAATCATACATTTTTCGCTAGGTTGCATTCTTAAAGGTGATACCATCATATCCTTGGAGAAGTCCTTTAGTTCCTCCACTGGGTCATTTTCTCTGTCTTTACACCCAGCTCAACGATAAAAAAATGAACAAACTCTTTGCCAGTCTCTTAAAATACTGTAGGCACAGTAACGGTCCCTAAAGAAGTCTGGGTCCTAATCCCCAGAACCTGTGACTATGTTAGGTCACATGGTAAAAGGGACTTCGCAGTTGTGATCATGTTAGGGATCTGGAGTTGGGGGGATTACCCGGGATTATCCAGGTGGGCCTGATGTGGTCAAACTGGTCCTTATGAGAGCAGGGAGGAGGGTGAGTCAGAGGGGATGTGTGATGGAAGCAGAGGGCAGAATGACAGAGGGGCACCCGCCAGGGCTCCCAGGCGGCCCAAGAGGCTGGAAAAGGCATGGAAATGACTCTCCTCTGGAGCTTCGAAAGGAACACAGCTCTACCCACATCCTATATCAGTCCAGTAAAACCCATTTTGGACTCTGCCCTCCAGTGCTGTCAGATAACAAACTGCTGTTGTTTTAAGCCACTGGGTCTGCTAGTTTGTTACAGCAGCAACAGGAAACTAATACAATGCCTCATTTAGCCCACTACGCTTTTCAGAAATATAGGGGATAAGCCATGACCCTGAAAGGGAAAGGGAGAGAAAGGCTACAAAGGGTGGAGAGTGATGGAGGAGCGATTATGGGTTGCACCCACGCGGGATCAGGAAAGCCTGAGTTTTTATCATGAGGAATGAGCCACTCCTCTGGGAGAAACTTGGCCACCGCAGGCGACGAAGTGGGAGGTCTATACGCACGGAGCTCACTGTGTCCCCAGGAGGAGGTGACACGGCCTGGGTTCTCTGTGGAGGGGAGGAGAAGGTGGAAAGAGCCCTCGGGCCTCTGTGGGGGGGTGGGCTGGTCTCCTTACCTCCCCAGAGGAGGACAAACAGGCAGGATGATGACACTGAGCGATACTTTAATCACAAACCGCAAACACAAGATGAAGGATGGAGTTTGCCATTTGTTTTCCCCAAAGGCTGACTCTGAGGAAGGCCATTCTTTAATGAGGTGGCACTGGATTCCCGTGTCCTCACTGCCTGCGGGCGTTGGGGGTGGAGGTGCTGACCGCGCGCACCCTCGCTGGCTCAGAGGCGTGGCGAATCTTCCTCTCGGAAGGCCATGGACCCATGTTAATCTAATTTACAAATAAGCTGGGAACAGGTCAAGGACGAGAACCGCCACGTGACACTGCCCTCCCAACCGCTGGTGGGAACTGTGGAGGCCCGGGCCCCGGGATGGCCCTTGGCTTTCCAGGGAGCCACGGCTGAGCCCCCTGAGCACCCGCAGGTGGTCTGGAAACCCTGGGGTGGGCTGAGGGTCTGCCTTGCCCTGTCTGACAGCTGGTAGCACCTGATGGCCCTTGGGCTCTGGAGAGGGGCCCCTGAGGCTTCCAACATGCCTGGATTGGTCATCACAGAACCAGAAGCAGCCAGGCCCCAACGTCACGTACGGGATGTGCGTCCTATCCCTTCTCACACGGAGTTTAGGGTGGCAGCTGTGATCATCGCTGGGAGTGCATCCTCTTTCTTCCAGACTGGGGGCTGCTTGAGGGCAGGGAGCGCATTTTAGTACCCCCCCGCCCCCGCAAATCTCCAGCATCCAATGCAGGTCTGGGTGATATTTTGCTGAGGAAACATAGGCACAAGGGGCCTTAACACTCCAGAAGGCTGGGCTATGGAAGCTGCTTACAGTCCATGCCAGGTCCCTTTTCCCAGAGGGGCCCTACAGTGGCCTGCTTCCCACACTGTACAGTGCGGAGGGCTGCAGGATGGCCCCGGGCTTTGCACAAGGTACCTTCTGGGGCCCGCAGACTGGTAAGCAGAAAGATCAGGAGCATTCATTTCTGTCACCTCTGTGCCTAGAACGGGGCCTGGGACACAGGGGTAGCACAAAGGCCGTGGAACAGGTGTGTGAGAGAATAAATTAAAGAGCAAACCATCTCTCAAAGCGTGTTAAGAACTGGGCAAGAGAGAGACTGCCCCACCTGGATGTGAGCCCTAGAGGCTGGGCTGGCTCCACATCCCAGGCCAGCACTGCCAACACAGAGTGACAGCCGCCCATGTGACTTAAAAGCATTCTATCACTATGTTAAAAATGCAAAAAGAAATAGATGAAATCAATTTCAGTTTCATTTAACCCAATATATCCAAAATATTATAATTTCCAGATAATCAATATAAAAATTATTAATAAGATACTTTATATTCTTTTTTGGTATCAAGTCTTTGAAAGCTGGGCTGTCTCTCTGCCATCTCAGTCTGCACCTGCTGCCTGTTAAGGGGCCCCTCGGAGCCATGTGCAGCCAGCAGCCACGACGTTGGGCAGCTCAGGGGCTGAGGAGTGCATTCACCAGTCAGGGTTCTTCAGGGAGAGGGTCAAGGCTGGCGAGCCCCTTCGACAGCCAGAGAAAGAACAAAAGTCAAAAGAAGTAGGGGGGAAGTCAGGGGAATGTGAGGTCAAGAGAAGGCAGTTTCAAGAGGGAAAAGGCACTGGTATCAGATGCTGTTACAGTTGCGAGGCCAGGGGACACTGCTGGACCGGACATCCATGGAGCGCTGAGGGCACATGGGCAGAGTCAGGGGGTGGAAACCAACCTGTGAGGGGCTAAGGGAGTTCTGGGGAAGAGGCTGCCATGATTGTGAGGAGGAGGAGGAAGGGAGACAAGGTCTGAGGAGCACATGGGGAAGGGGGTTGTGGGCGAAGTTAATGATAGTTACCGTCTGGTGAGTGTCAGAGTGGGTGAGGGACTCTGGATAGACTACATTCACCTGCTTCTCACAGTAACTCTGCCAGCAGAAGGAACTGATATCCACATGTCACAGACAAGGATGCCTGAGGCTCAGAAAGGGAAGGAAATGCATTCGGCGTCGCACAGCTGGAAGAGACGGAATGTAAACCCAGGGGCCTTCAAGGCCCACGTCGCAGAGAGATCTTGTGGAGGAATCAATCACTTGGCCAGGTGGGGGCGCAGGGATGACAACACAGGGACCACCAGGATGGCAACACTGTGGGGGGCAC